AAAATAATGGCTCGAAAATAATTATTTAACAAAATCTACAGAAAATCAAGATGACTATAACAACTTTATTATATCAAAAAAAAAGAAAAAAAAAGTGCTCGAGACGAGATTCGAAGGCCAGCGATCCTTGTGTTCGACGCCGCTGTTCGTGTATCATCTTGTTTCTAAAATCTAACAAAAGCGGCTTGTAAATATTTTAATACAACAAATTGCTACGATAAAAATCTAACATCACTAGAACACCTATATTTCAGTTAAAAAAGGATCGAGGATCGAACCTTGGAACTCTAGATTATACCTTAGGATTGATAAACTGCGCCGTGGAAAAATAAAAAATAAAATAAAGTCGTTGCATTTTATAACCGTGCCGCAAGTCTTCGGCSTGGACTCGGTAACTGTGTTTCAGTTAAAATGAAAAAAAATTAAGAAAATAGAATTGTTTAGAATTAAGTCCGCGTTTCTAAGTTTGACGTCACTATTCGAGTATGATGTTGTTACTAAAATTTAAAAAACGGCTCGTAATTATTAACAAAACAAATATCTACAATAACAATTTATATATATAAAAAGTTAACATGACTAGAACAACTCTATTTCAATTGAAATAAAAGGATGAAAGGAAAGAAGGAGAAAGAATTTCCGTTCGTTAGGTAGTTTGCAAYCCTAAACTGTTGATTTTGTTAGTCATGACGCCTTGAGTTTTTGTTGTATCAACTCGATGATGTTCTCGATAGGTTCATTGATGTCTTTCCACCATAGTTCCTTGTTGGCCTTGTGATTACCAGCCATGGTCTTTTCTCTCACGGCGACGTTGTAAACATCCCTTCGGCTACTGTACTGATAGACTGGATACTCTTTGGTGAATATTTGAATTGCTCTCGGACGTGGTTTTACTTTTTTAACTTTACTTATCTTATCAACGCTTTTGTTTTCTTCGCGGTTCGGTTTAGAGTGTGTTGATGACCCTTTGGTAGCTTTATGCCAATTACCTTTACCGTGACCGTTGCTTCCATATCTATGGTAAGAGGAGGTGGTCAGTCTCGCTATGGCGGTTTTGTTTTCCGCACGAGTTTGATCATGAAATTCAGACAGTAGCTCATTTTCGTAGATGACTGCTAGTTTCCTTCCATGACCAGTCAGAATTGGTGAAAAAACGCGTCTTTTTTTGCGAGGATGGTAAGTTTTTGGCAATTTATTGAACTTGCTAAAGTTGACCTTTCTGATTTCCATCGCTTCTCGAAGTGATTGAACGAAAAGATTATGTGTTTAGGTGAACTGACTTGGCCAATCGTATTACGAGAAAAAWTTCTGCGTCATCATTTGCGTCATCAGGAGATTGCTAACTACATTACTGAATCAACGACCATACATCAAAGGATTTAGAACTGACGAGCACTTAACTATTCTCTACCAATTTTAGAGAAAGTTAGAATTTCTATCAATTTTGTTTTCTTGTTGTTGTTGCTCCTTCTGTTGTTTTCTTTCGTTTTTTAAAGATTGATTAATTTGATTTGGATGGCCAATAAAAGATTGCATTCTATCACGCATTACTAAAAAATTACTTCCGCTTTATACACCAAGACATGTGGTGCTTGSTTTATCCTTTCGTTTAGCTTGTTTTTCTCATGGTACGGCGTCTAACGCTCTAACGTCTACCGCACTTTCCTGTGCTTTTTTAGCTCTATTCCAGCCAATCCGATCTTCCCTAGTACACCGTACCTCGTGATCCAGCTAATAAGATCTTCCCTTGTACACCGTACCTCGTGATCCAGCCAATCAGATCTTCCCTAGTACACCGTACCTCGTGATCC